ATTCCCTGTCAGTTCAGGGCTTTTGAGAAGTCCCCTTTACCTTTTAAATTGAAATACGTGTAAATGGTGACAGAGCAAGTGAAGAACAGGAATGGGAAACAAAACGCACAGTACTGCCTCTTTGCATTTGTGCCAAATGGCTCAGTGTTCAGACTGCTATTTTGGGATTAAAAAGAAAATATAGATTTGAATGCATGCAGATGTCTAGGAACCCTGGATTTTCATGCATGTATCACAGGAAGCCTCAGCTAGTTTTCTTACCTCATCTGTTTTCTTCATGTCTGACTGCTGAGAGACAGCCAGAGCATCATATTTTGTTCAAGAACAGAAACATTTTTAATAGGGTTGGTTTTTTTCCTTCTCCCAGCTTGTATAATAAGGGAGACCTTATTTTACAATTTGCACTTTTTAAGAAAGGTAATTATTTTTCATATAAAATAATTATTTTGTTTGTACTTATGATGCCTTAGACTTTGGCTCTTCAGACCCCGAAAACAATAGAAAGTGCTTATGTCCTGTTGAGTTTTGGGGATTCTGTGACAACTGACCACATATCTCCAGCTGGGAACATAGCCAGAAATAGTCCTGCAGCCCGTTATTTGACCAGCAGAGGGTAAGCACTACTTCTTGTTCTTGTTATGAATTGGGAAGAGGAAGCAAACCACAACTACTATACCATGTTACAGGCACACATATCTTCTGTCTGTTCACATGCCCCTGTATACCTTGACAGCTGCCCAGAGAACACATAAACTAAGAAAGAAAAACATTTCTCTTTCTCTTTCAACAGTTCTCACCAGGTGTAAGAATTTGAATAGAGTGTGTGAATCTGTTAGCACTGTAGACCTGTGAGAGGTGAAGAAGATAACTTTCATACTGATTTTTACAGTACATGTATTCATAACTAAGGGAATTGGGATTTGTCTCCCTAGCAAAGCAAGAGGACCATGGTCCTTAGTTCCAAAAATTGGTTTTATATTAATTTCTATCACATGCAACTATTTCATAGGTCAAGGCTCTTAGGAGCTACAGAACATCCCGAAGTTTAGGTTTCAGTTCAGCTGCAAAAACTGGCAGATCTGTTGTGGCTGAGGTCCAAACTCCTGTAAAATGTTGGTCTTTTCCTATGACCAGTCTGTCAGTTTAGTACTTGGGGTTCAACTTAAGGCAAGATTAGGACTTACCAAGTTTACCTGATAATATAATGCTTTTATTCTCTGGCTTAGCACTTTTTACAGCCTTAGTGATGTTTTGAGGAACAGCACTGATATAAAAGATACTGTAGTAATGTAAACAACAAGGAGAATTTTCAGTAGCCAGGTATTAAGAAAAGAATTGTGCTGCATCTTTTGACTTAATATGAATTATACCCTTGCATCACTACTAGATCCTGTTCTCTAGGGCAAGGATTGAGAATACTATGGAAACTCCTTTTTATGACGAAACTGTAGCTGTGTTTTAATTATTTTTCCCTTCCTTCAAAACATCTCAAAAGTAGAAGTTTAGCAATTAGCTAATTGCCAAGCTGGGAACTTTGTACATACTTGCTTTAGAAACACCAGTTCATTACTTCATGTTTTTTGAAGCACAAGAGTGCTTTAGTCTAAAAACAACACTGTTTCCATTCTTCATTTCCTTTAATAGCCTGACTCCTCGAGAGTTCAATTCTTATGGCTCCCGCAGAGGAAATGATGCTGTCATGGCCAGAGGGACATTTGCAAACATTCGCTTGGTCAACAAATTTATTGATAAACAAGGACCTCAGACTATCCATTTCCCTTCTGGGGAAATTGTAAGTACACATGCTGCTCTAAATCGGGGCTCACTGACAACAGAGTGTTAGTGTTGGCTTTTCTCCCTCCAGCTTAGGTCATTTACCCCAGTGCTTTTCACTGAAAATATTTGAGGGGACATACTCACGTAATACGGTGCTTTGGGGCATGTCAGTGGAGGGTATAACCCCTGTAGCAGCAGCAGGGGAAGGTGCAGGTTCATGTTGGGAGTGAGATCAGACTAGAAGCCACAAAGTGGGGTGTGGTTAGTATCCTTAAAGTGCTGCCTGTTGGAAGGTGTGGGCTTCAACTGTTTGTGTGGGGGCACTTTTCTCGTCTTTTCTCTGGAACTGTGCTTCCACCCTCAAAAAGTTTATGAGGTGTTTGCCATCTTTGTTCCAGCTGGACGTGTTTGATGCTGCAGAAAGATACAAGCAGGCTGGCCATCCTCTGATTGTACTGGCTGGGAAGGAATATGGTGCAGGAAGTTCCAGGGATTGGGCAGCTAAAGGACCGTTCCTTTTGGTGAGTGGCTACAGCAAACTAGAAGGAAGACAGTACTTGACAGTGCATTAATTTGTCAGGAAGACTCGTTTATGACCAACAACCTGTGTAGCTCATTCTCACTTTAGGTAGCAAGAGGTATTTTGAAATCTCAGCCGCCTCCAAGAGCCGCAGCAGAGTTGCAAAACCTATTTAAGTATTAATAGATCTTGTTTGGATTGAAAGGCTTGACTGATCTTCAGCTAGAAATCCACAAGCCACGCCAGAAAGGCCACTTTCTTTACTTCTGCTTCCCATAAGCCCATAAACCACAGGTCTGCTTTCAGCTGCCTCCTTATGCTCTCTTAGCAGAGAAGCTAGAAAGTGTAAGAGAAAAGTAGGATCACTGAAAAAGAAATGTAGCATGGCTTCACCATGGGAGCCTAATAGAGATCCACATACAGTGAAGTATCTCCTTCTTTCTTTGTCTTCCAGTCCTATACTGTTTACCAGCTCAAACTCTGATTCAGGCTTTCTTGGTATGGAATTTGTGTGTATTATTAGAAAAAGTTTTATGAGAGTTGGTGTATAAGTTCATTAAAGTTTTTGGAGTTTTTTACTGGTGATGGTTTTTTGTGTTAACTGTATTAACATGTAAAATTTTAGAAACTACTGTAACTGCACCACGAAGCTTGTAGTGTAGGAGGGCAACACTGAATTAGGAAGAATTATGGAAATAACTACTGATGCTCTACATAAGATGTGTTAAAGTAGTATGCAGGATTCCTGAGAAAGCAAGTGTGACTTTTTTTGATAGTCAGGTTTCTAAAGATCTTTGAAAAATAGTGTATCTGGATAGTTTGCTGTCAGACAGAACTGCTGACCCTACCAGTAGCTGGTAAATAAAATGGAGGGGACCACAGAAGAATTTTCTTCTTGTGAGTACAGAAAGGCTGTCCTGAACCATGAAGATAACTAAACCTGTTGTGTGTTTCCCAGGGTGTCAAAGCTGTGCTTGCTGAAAGCTATGAGAGAATTCATCGAAGCAACCTAGTAGGGATGGGAGTGATTCCTCTGCAGTATTTACCTGGAGAGGATGCAGGGACTTTGGGACTCACTGGACGGGAGCGTTACACGATTATCATTCCTGAAAAACTGAAACCACAGATGAACATCCAGATTAAGGTATGAGACACCTAAGAGCTGAATTTTCTGAATCACTGGAATTTCACCCAAAGTGAATTGTCTCTTCAGAAAATATGCTGTCATATGGGTCAGTCAGCTTCTCTCACTTGAGAAAGCGAGAATTGAGATGGTGGAGAGGATGAAAAAAGTCATTCTAATAGGGACTAAATTGAAAGAGGGTAGAATTATACTAGATACATGAATAATTACATATAAGGCCCTGAAACCACTGCCCAGAGAAGTTGTGGATTCCTTCTCTCTGGAAGGGTTCAAGGTAGAGTTGGATGAGGCTTTTAGCAACCTTGTCTAGTGGAAGGTTCCCGGCCCCTGGCAGAGGGAGTTAGAGGTCATCCTTACGGCCAAACCATTCTATGATTTTATGATTTGCTATGATGGGATATAAAAGCAGGATGCTCAAACTGTTTTATTTAACACAAAGCCATCCTGTGTTCTGGACCAGTCTCTCAAAACTCACTATAAATTCTTCTGTCTGAGTTATAAATGAGGCAGGAAATGCAATGAGACTCCATATATGTTTATTACGGTTTGTTCAATACCACTTTCCTCTTCAGCAGCTACCTGTAGGCTAGTGTGAAAAGCAATACCGGTGCCTGTTCACTTTAGCTTTCTATCATAATTTTTTAAGATGACAAATCTATCCTACTGGTCCTTATTTTACTATGATGTCAAATAACATATGGAAAGTTCTGTTGCTTGAATGACTGTCTTTAACCCCAACAGCTGGATACTGGGAAAACCTTTCAGGCCATCATGAGATTTGACACTGATGTGGAGCTCACTTACTTCCACAACGGCGGCATCCTGAACTACATGATCCGTAAAATGGCATCCTAATTAAAAAAAATTAAGCAAAAAGGTCCAGGTACAAGCCTGCTTCCTGTGAGTGTAATAAACCAATAGTAATCTTGCATTTGAAAGTGTGAACCATAAAGTGAACAATTTTTTTTTTCTTGCATTGTATTAGAAGGCTTGTTTACAATGATGAATTTTTCTGTGTATCAGGAAACTGGACAGGCCCATATAAAGGCCCATATAAAGTAAACAGCATTTATTATTTGTTTCATATGGCAGTTGGCTTGAATTACCTTACAATACAGTGTAAAAGTCATTAAGATACTGCTGGCATCTGTAGAACTATTGAAGATCACGTGCTGATTTCATATATTTGGTCCATTTAGTTTGACTTTGAAGTTAAGTTTTATGCTTGTATCAGTGATCTAAGAATTAACTGACAGTATAAAACATTTTTATTCCTTCCTGATTACCTGATACTGACTTGCTTTCTTATTCAGTCATCAGAATCTGAAGATAATACTGCAATTATTTAGCTGTTTATTAATTTTAAAAATGTGAACTGTTTAAAATCTAAGCCTTTGTGGAAAGGTGGACTTATTGGGGATATTTCTAATGGATAAAATTAAATTTATTTTTAAGAAATTTGGTGGTTTCTATCATTTTATCCTTAGTACTGCAATGCAGAACAAAACTTTGACTTTAAACTCTTCTCATTGTCCCTGTAGGAACAGAGTCATATAAATCTCGACTTCTCATGTTTCATTTTTGTTTTATTAAAGAGCCTGCATGAGACAGGATGAATAGAAATACTATCAGATACTGGTAGTCTTCTGTAACCCAACAGAAGACTGGTGTGATGTACTTCCCTCTGTTTTGTGCCCTCAAGAAGACAATCTCCATAATTTCAAGATCCTCATCAGCAATTTTTATGGTAGTTAGCAACCAGCACTTACACCAGTGCATTCACTGAAGTCAGTACTGCCCATTCAACAATACCACATGAATCTGTTCATGGTGGTAACAAATCTCCTGTTACTTGGAGATAGACAAGGTTATGGTACTAATTCTCATCTTAACTATATTTATAGCAACTGCAGCAGCAAGTAATATAGTGGGGAAATTCTTTCAAAGTTATATCCTAATGTATTTTTAGTGCAGTCAGCTCCAGCTGTTTCTGGATAAAAAATAACTATTTAAATAGTTCTGAAAGAAGTCAAGAGACCAAAGGAGGGGATAGATATTGCACTGTACCTGCTTGATTGCAACCAAGAGACCTCCACTAAGATGTTGCAGGGTCTGGAACATCTCTCCTGAGGCCAAGCTGAGAGAGCCAGGATTGTTGAGTCCAGTAAAGAGAAGGCTCAGGGACATCTCCACTGTTTGTGTACAAATACCTGAATAGAGGGCACAAAAGAATGTGCAGCCATGGTCTTTTCAGTGGTGCCTAATGACAGAGCAAGAAGCAGTGGGCACAAATTGAAACACTGGAGGTTCCCTGTGAACATTAGGAAACATGGTTTCACTCTGAGGAACCAAGCACTGACAGGAAGAGACTGCACAAGAGAGCCTGGGGGGGTGTGTGTGTGTGTTGTCTCCATCCTTGAAAGTGTTCAGATACTGTCTGGCCATTGTCCAGGGCAAACTGCCTTGGGTCACAAGGTGACCTCTAGAGATCCCTCCCAACCTCAGTTGTTCTGTGATTCTGTGAAACATCTTAACAGAGAGTTGTTAATATGGTCACAGTCTTAGTAATAAATATGCAAGGTTGGGTTCAATGAAAAAAAAATTTAAAAATCAGATGTTCTCAAAGGCCAGATTATGTGCTGGTGTTCTTCCCAACATCTCATCTCCACTGTGTACTGAAGGGAAGGCTTGTTATATCAATTTGAATTCTTTTAATGTGTTACCCTGTCAACCTTTATTACTTACTCAGGCTGAGCTGCAAAGTTGTCTTAGTCTGAATTTCTTGTTTTCAAAGAACAGGAAAATACCAAAACTTCTCAGATTCTGTAACTTCCCAGTAGTTATTACTGTAAGCTGTGAAATTGAGGGCTAATTATTTTTTTATGCCAAAAATCCCAAAGTGGATGGTCCTTCCACAGAGCAATCTGATACTTAAGGACTTAAGGTCATTTTCCAAGTACTTTTAATTAGAAAGTGTTAAAATGGCCTTTTTCAAAAGCCTGTTATTCTTAGCATTTTTGGAGGGAAGGCATTATCCAAACATAAATCATCTTTATTCATTGTTCAAGTGCATACAGCTTTCACAGTAAAGGGCATGGGGTGGAACATGAAGCAGTGCTTAAAAAGTTCTTTTGCTTTTAATGCCACACAACACTTTAACAGAACACTGCAGGCCTCACTGACTAGGATTTAGGTAGTTTAAATCATTTTTGGACTCTTAAATTATGTTCCTTTTCGAGGTGGGTTTTGGGGGTTTTTTTCGGAGTTCAGGTGGTTTGGACACATAATTCTTCTACGTACATACCTTACTACACTATCAAATGCATAAAGTGAACTGCAAATACCTTTCTTCCTGGTTCCAGAAATACTGAATATTAAGCTCATTGAAAATGTGTAGAATCAGCAGGTGCTTTAAAGGGTACAAGTATAACAATGTTTCATAATTGTAGCAATTTCTATTTTTCCCACAAAAGTCTTGAATCTGAGTAGAGAGAAGGAATATATATAGATATATAAAACATTAAAAGTAATTTTTTTAAAGTAGCTAGAGTAGTGCCTGAAGTGTTAGTATGTGTAAGCCATGTTGTCTGCACGGAGGTGTAATTCAGCCAGTAGTAGTAACAAAGAAGATGCTGTTTCCCACAAAAATTCTTGCAGTTGTGGCCTGTCACCTAAAGTTGGATGTTTCATGTTAGTCATTCATCTTGATCTTATTTTTTTGCAGACCAGCTTCTTCATAGCTACAAGGATTCGGATGTAGATGCTAAGACCCCTGTTTATTGTTCTTATGAAACTTCTAGTGAAATATTTCATTATATAGCAAATTTTTTTTAGTGGCCATACTAGCCTTTTATAATCCAGCCAGATGTGGACGAGGAGCCCAGCGTATCAGCATAAAGAACAAAGGTTTTTTATACATGAAAAATGATCATTCACTATTTCAGCTGAGTGCACTAGGGTGATATTTCCATTAAAATGATGAGTTCAGCTGGATGTTTCTTCATCAAAATTCTTCAAAGAAGAATTAATATTTTTCCATTTCTGAAAATCCATTTGTGTCCCAGTTTCAACGTCCTCTACCACAAAACTTCTGATTTTGATGATTGGTAGATTATCAAATGTCTTGTACTTCACTGTGATCCCCCAGTCATGCTGGCAGATAGTTTTTTGGCAATGTATCTTGCTTTTTTTCTCAAAACCATCAAATTGATGTCGTTTCTGGTGAGGCTTTGTTATGTAACGCTCCTTGAATGCATCTCCTAGGACAGTGTGGTGAGAGTCCTGAAACAACACATGACAGAAGTACTTAATAGTAGAAACAACCTTTCTCATTTTTTTCTGATGCTCCTCTTCCCTTCTCAATATGTTTTCCCTGCTAAGGTCATTCCTGTCATCCAGGAGGGTCACCTTCCCTCGCCTTTGGCTCTTTGCTCTCTTTTCCCCTGATTCATTGAATACTAGGGCCCAGGCCTAGGCTTATCAAAACAAAAAAAAAAATTGCTTTGTATAATCTGTCACCAGCTTATATATATTTGAACTTACTAATCTTTTTTAAAAAACATGCTTGCAGGATTTGAGCCTTGTGCATAAAACTAAGAGAGTTATTCAGACAATGGACAACTTTGAGAGACTCCTTCTTCCCATGAGGGGTGATGCAACTACTTTGGGGTGGTAGAAAAAACAGCCCTAACAAGATGAAGGAGCTACAGTTGATGCTTATAACATATATAACCAAAGATTGCAGAAATTAAAAACCTTACTTGAAAGCATATTTATAATTTGAGCTGGAGTCTGAAAATGCACCTTCCATAAAATATATAGGCTGAACTATGAGAGAACTCAGTTTGTAGGAGTTATTTAAAATGCTCTGAGGGGTTATTTGCAGAGTACTAAACAAAAACTCTTACTGAGGAGTTTTCTGAGCTCTTGGATCAATCTGCACAGGTATGGGTAATAAACCAACAGCATAAAATGAGGTAAAACTCAGAGATGCTTTAGATACCCCTTGATAGTTGCCAAAGAAACGTAATTAAGTTTTCACAAAGCTGAGCTGTTCCCAACTTCGTGCCTGTGCATCTTGCCTGTGCAGAGGAGTGGTGAACTCCATCTATATTCAAAAAACAGCTGGTAAAACCAAACAAAAATATTTTCTTGATGAATAAGGGAAGTGCTCGAAGGCAAACACTCTGTAATGCTCAGCTGTGGCCTGAAGCCTCTTATCACATCACAACTGCACTTTTAAGAGCAGGACAAATAGAAGCAGCTTCAAGAGAACCACTTGCAGAACTATAAAGGCCCAGAAGCCAAGGAGTTAAACAGGGAGCTGATATCAGTACCTTGTGTGGGTAATTGTTAGTCAACATAAATGGTGGGAGAAACCTCTCAACGGCAGGGAGACTTCCAATCTTATGCTGATCAGGAAGGTAAGTACCCAGCAGTAACTAACACTAGTAGGTTATGTAGTTGAAGATAGGTGGATTTTCACAAAATTCATCAGTTTCACAGGGGTTCAGGAAAACTGAAGTGATTCCTGCCACATCACCTATTTGCACACATTGGACATCATCAATTAATATATCAAACTATAAAAGTCACACCTGTTCCTGTGGTTTACTGATTTACTCAATTTCTTTTCTGGTCCAGTTTGCACAAAATAGCCTACTTCCACACTGATTAACAGTGCTGTTAGTTCAATAACTCTGACTTCCCTGATGTTCATGGATGTGTTTCCATACCTTTATAATTCTGATGTCATCTGTACAGCAGGCATAGGCTTTGCATTTTCCACACAGAAGATTTTTTTTCCCTTCCACTACTTCATGTTTTATAGTTTCTTTCTTCCTGCAATCTCGTAATACCTTTTCCTTCATTTGCAGGTCACGTATCTTTGTTAAATAAATAAAAATCAAGATCATTATGAAATGAAGAGAAGCCCCAATGTTAGCCTAAACATGACTCAGGATATGTAACATCTAGAAACATATTACTTAAAGCAAAGAAAACAAAACAAAAATTGCCTTGTTCTAGGAACTCATACCAAAGAAAGAACATATTATTTGGAATGTAGGACTAGAATAAGACTATGGGATGGACAGCGTTTATGCTGTCTCTTCCTCCTTCCCTTCTAGCCCCCTATGACCTCTCTGCTTATAAGGCTGTTTAGTCTGTGTGAAGACTAAGTCATGTGAAACTCCCTACAGCACAAGTAGTGCTGCTACTCTGGGAAGCTCATGGCTTGAAAAGTAAGCATGGGGGACCACAGAAACTGCAGGTAGAGAAAGAAACAACAACCAGTAGAGCTGGGAACCAAATGCAGAAACAGAGAAGACACAGCCATAGCAAACTTTGGAGGTGAGAGAAGAAATTTCACACAGGCCAGTGGGCCTCAGACATCCTTTGTTGCACAGCTCAGTCTCTGAAATCTTCAAGTCCAAGGGAATATGGCAGAACTGTGTATAAAGCCTTTTTTATTTGGAGTGGCTGCCACTGGCTTATTCCAGTCTTCCCTGAGCCCTGGGAACACTATTGTTACCGGCCGCCAGTTGTATTTAACTCCATTTACCCCCATTCTCTGTGCCTGGTCATCCAGCCATTTTTTTTATTGAGTGAACAGTTCACCCACCCCAAACCATGAGCTGACATTCTCCAGGAGAATGCTGACATGGTGTCCAAGGCTTTACTAAAGTTCAGGCAGTCACCAACCACAGCCTTTCCCTCATCCACCAAGCAGGTCACCCTGTCCTAGGAGAAGATCAAGCTGGTCAAGCTTGACCTGTCTTTCCTAACCCCATGCTGTCTGGACCTGATCCCCTGGTTGTCCTGTATGTGACAGGTGATGGCACTCAGGATGATCTGTTCCATGACCTTCCCTGGCACCAAGGTCAGGCTGATGGACCTGTAGTTCCCCAGATTCTCCTTCTGGTCCTTTGTGTAGGTCGGTGGTCACACTGGCCAACCTCCAGTCACCTAGGACCTCCCTGGTGAGCCAGGACTGGTGATAAATTATGGAAAGTTCTCTTTGGATTATGGGCACTTCATTCTACTCCATGTCTCTGTCTTCCAGCTCAGGGGGCTGGGTGTCCCCGGAACAACTTGTCTTACTGAGCCAAACAAGGCATTATGTAACTCAGTCTTTTCTTCATCCTTTGTCACTATGCTTCCCCCCACCATCTAATAATGGATAGGGATTCTCCTTAGTCCTCCTCTTGTTGCTAATGTATTTACAGAAACATTTTATGTCTTTTACAGCAGTAGCCATATGAAGTTGTAGTTGGGCTTTGGCCCTTCTGATTTTTGGCTGCATAACAACATAGTATCCTTGTACACATGCCCAAGACAGCCTTCAACTTTCACACCACCCACAAGTCCTCCTATGTTCATAAAACACAGGTCATAAATTCTACCTCAACTTGTAAGTTTTTTGCAGTTACACTACAGCTGACATTCTGCAAGCCAGCAATACACACTGTGCCTTCTCTGCTGATCTAGCCTTTGAAATCAAATACAGTGAACACTTTCCTCAGGCTATCACTTGGCTCTAGACAGGTGAAGGCTCAGTAGATTATACCTGTAAGATTTGAGTATGGAAACAGCACAAATCACAAACCTTTCTTGCAAATGTTGTTTCATCCCAGTTCTGCAGGTTTTCAATAGCTGCATTCATCATTTCTTCCTTATAATGGTTCTGTTTTTCATTCTCAACCACTTCTGTCTTGCTTGTCACAAGGATACACTTGCTGTCTTTTGCCCTTCCACGACCTGTACAGCAACACATTTTTTCTCTTTAGTTACTCCTAACAACATTTGCAAATGTGGCAGCTCTGCCATAAGAACCTTTTGCGTGGCTGCTTTTGTTTCCAGTGTTCAGGTTCAGGTAATGCTGCTTCAGAAGAGCATTCTCTCAGCTCTTTCTTCTTCAATAACAAACCAGAACAAGATGTCCCCTTCCAGGTATACTCATGGATATCCCCCAGCTGGTATTATAGTGCCTGCTTCTGTGGCCTCCCTCAGCTAGGTTCAGGCATGCTTTAAAATTCAATTATTGAATAGCATCTTGCTTTCTTCTTGTGTAAAATAAGGGGAGAGGTTCATCTCAATCTTACTTACTAGTTTACTGTCTTGCTATTTGGTGTCTATTAAAAAAAAAAAGACCAAAACTCTATATCACAAAAACTTGAGACACTGGATATACAGTGCTGACAAAAAAAGAGACAACAATAGCAAGTGCCATCTCTGCCAGCTGTCTACTGCCTGCCCGCTTTTTGTTGTTGTTACACAGGCAAACTAAGAACTACAGTGATCTCATACCAGTTTAGAAGTATTTCACTCATAAAAAGTGTTCACATTTCCTGTCAAGCTGCCATTCCACAAAAATCATGCTTGTATGTGGTTTCAAACTGACATAGCCTGTTTCCCCTGCACCCTTAATGGCTTTTTACAAATAAAGACTATCCTTTCACCCACACAGGTGAATTCTGGGCCAATTATTTCAGTATAAGACAAAGATAAGAAAAATCACAGGGCAGAAAACCCTGAAAACAGAAGACCAAGTACAATGGAGATTACTTCTTGTCAAGCCATAATGTTAACTACTTGGGTGAGAGGATAAAATATTTAAGATGCACCCTTGAAAGACTAGGCATTTTTATGCTGTTTGGGAATGTTAAGCAGAAATGAGTATTGAGTGTGGCTCTTCATTCCCCTCCACTGCCCGTACTGTAAAGTCACCAAAATTCAAGACCAAATTCTTGACAGACTTCTTTGGACAAGCTGAGATACTGCCTTTTTTTTACCTTTTTCTTTTTTTTTTCTTAAATGTTAGAGATCTGCACATGCGAAGGCCTCAGGTACCCAGGAGTAGCTGGGTTGGTAACTGGGCCTTCAGAAGCCAAGGCAATACATGAAACTCCATTGCAGCAGTCCTTTGTCACAGAATGATTTGCACTATTTCTGACTACAGCTCTTCCAGCCATAGTTCTTATCTACTAGAGGTATCAGTCCTGAAGAGTTCAATAACCTAGTGCAGCATGGCTAATTTGCCTGGTGAAAGGAAAGTCACACAACATCAAGGACGTGGCTCCGTGAATAAATTTGTCATGTCCCATCATTCATCTCACTTTGCTCTGGGGCACAGAAGAGCAACAGCAAGACATGCACATATTACTACAGTATTTCCAGTGTAGCATTCATTAGCACTTCATGCCCATTTCTAGGCAAAACAGGTTCCTAAAGTAATAACTCTGACATTCCATACCTCTGACTTGGATCGTTTTGGTGATGTTACCAAAGTATTCATAGAGCACAACAAGGTTGCACTCAGAAATGTCGATGCCTTCATCAGCAACAGATGTAGCAATTAGTAGTCTGCTGTCTTTGTCAGTTTTGAATGCATCCAGCACCTCCTTCTGCATTGGCAGGGTCATACCTACAGTAACAAAGAACAGTGGCAGGAAAAAAAGCACTGAAGAGTTCCTATATTGAAGAGCAAGATATCTGCATTTGCTCTTATTTAAGTGATTAGAAATCAGTATGTTCTCTTGAACTAGAAAACTACTTTAAGTTTGCATATGTAGCTGGATGTGTATTATACCCACTGAGCAGTGATTCCTGTTGTTGTGTCACAGGAATTGTCATCCTGGGAAACACCATTTCAGACAAAACACCCAGCTGATCTTTATTGGAGAGACCCATACAACTTAGTAAAACCCAAGCTTACTCTTGACTTAAGCTACAGATAAATCATTTGGCTGTAACTTCTGTTTACCTTAAAATGTTTTTGTTCTATCAAACACAAAATAAGAGAGGGATCTATAAAAGGAACAGGGAAAATACTAGAATTAATCACAAGAAGCCACAATAGTGAAGTTTCTAAACTGCTTTAGAACTAGCAAAAGAATCCTGCAGAAAAAGGCCACTGACAGTTTACTACTGCTTTAACTAAAGATTCTGGACAGAAAAGGCAAGAGTGTACTTAGGATTTTTGAAAGGTGTTCTAGATATGGAAGAACACAAGTGCAAACTTGCATGACCTTCCTCTGTTTAAGAGCACAGAAGATGAACACAGGAAAAGCAGAACCCTTTCAGCAGCATAGCCACCATAGGTTTAGCCTGTGTTATAACTCAGTGCAAATCTGTGTACCTGTTTTATATTCTTTTCTTCCCTGACCCATCAACACATCTGGCTTTATGTGGCTAAGCAGAGGGTTTGCTTCCACCCACTTCTTCAAAGCCTGGAAAGCAAATCAGGGAGTTAGATTCTCTGTCCAGATTAAATGCTAGTTTGAGATAGACAGATAGATCTTGCCTATGCTTGCCTAGAAAATTAATACTTCCAAAAGAACAACAAAAAGCAGAAAAGAAGGTGGAACTTGTGTGTCAGGTGGGAATATTTATTAATAAGTGAGAAAGCAAGGGTCACAGCCACAATGCCAGACTGAACCATGCCGCAACTGATTTCCACTTTTCCTACTCCTGCAACTTAAAGGCTGGCTAGAGGGCAATAAGCCTTTCACTGCTAAAAAGTATGCCTTTTTGATCACTGAATGCTACACCTCTGGGATCAAAGTAAAGGAGCTGCTATTTACAAACTGGACTTTCTCACTACGCAGTGACAGTAGCACCTCCAAACTGCTCTTACAGAAGAACAAAATTCAGCCAAGCCACGGTAATTTTTTAAATCTAAAATGGAAAGCTGCCAGCAGATGCTTGGTATTGTCAGTTTGGACTTTACCCTGCCTTTAATTTTTTCCTGGTTTGCAATTCGTCCAGCATGTCTATACCCAAGGATAAAATGGGGTTGTGTCTCTCAGCTGATAAATCTGTTTACAGTAGCCAGAGACTAATGATACCTTGTAGTAAATGTTTTAAAGTTACTGGAGCTAATAATTAGCAGCACATTTACTTCAAGCATGAACATTTTCTGGGAACAAGGCATTGGAAAGGAGAAAAAAGGTCATCCAGCCTACATCCTTGATCCTAGCCAAGTATGAAATAGACCAGTGATAAGAAGAGTTCAGAAAACATACACTCCACAGAGTCTTTCCTTTTGCTTGATGAAAAACAGGTGCTAGGACACAGACCTCCTTTAGACCCATACAAATCCTCTGGGAAATGTACAAATACTTCCTGACATGCCGTCAGTAATAAATTAGAGCTGCTGATTTATAACACTGCCACATTAAAGCCAAAACCCTTGTAACACATCTTGTTAAAACTGACTTTAGACCTAAAGTAAAAATCTGATGGGTTAATGGTCAGCTATGACATGTAGTAAGATGTGATGAGGACACCACCCCTGTACCATAGTTTTCAGAAGAAGATAAATTTAGGAAGGTCAAATACATGCATATTTTTCTATTTCAGGTCAAAAAGATGAGGCCTTATGTTTTTCCACTTCCCATTTTAGGAGCTTTAAAATGGAATTCTTACAGCTACTAAGGCTCTTGTCTTGGCAAAGAGAATAGTGCGAGTTTGTGGGTTATAGCGGTATGCTTCGTCCAGGATGGAAGCAAGCTCTTCCAGCTTGGGATTCTCATTTGATTCATCTTTTGAAAGGGCAGTCAGTTCTGGTTCTTTCTCTGAATGAAAAAAAGAGGCATCTTGAATAATTTACCTCCTTTAATTCAGAAAGCAGAACTCCCACACAAACCTACTTTCAAATACCACACATATTCTCTTTAGCTTCTCTTTTTATTTTCTATTCCATTCATTCAAACACAAGCAGAGAAAGCTGTTGGTTAAATGCAACAAAACCCCCAGGAAAAACAAAATTATGAATTTCTCACATTTTGTAGCAAACTGACAGGAGAACTTCTGTGATATACTGTGCATCAAAACACAGCAACAATACAAAATCAGTTCTTGCACAGAGCACTGCTATTTCTCCTTAGGAAACAACTGACACTCAAAGGCAGACAGCCCAGTGATTTAAAATTGCAGTCAACACTGCAACACACCATAACACAAGCTGGAATATAGCCCATTGCTAACTAAATCAGAAGTCAGGGAACAGCACCACCTCTAACTTTCAATCAGAAGGGTATAAGGGCCACCTGCTTCTCCCCAGAAGCCTGGAATTCATCCAGAAGCATTGGGCAGGAGACCAGGCAGTGCACTGATCCCTGTATGTTGCCTTATCTAATGATGCCATCATCCATGATCATAGAGCATCGCTCTACTTGTGGGGCCCACCCATAGGGACACTGCTGCCTTATCTCCAAGTCAGGCATTTAAGAACCTGCTACAGCATCCAGCTACAATTACTGCTGTTTTCTTAGCTCTTGCACCAAAAGCTTGCAGTCCCAGAAAGTAAGTGCCCCCCTCCTACCCTAACACTACATTTGCACCCACACAGACACTAGATGTTCTGAAAAGTGCAGTTTCAGCAAAAACAACTGCTCTTACTCTGAAGAAAACTCCTGGACCATCCTAGCATAAACTCTCTTCTCCCTTGGAACTGTCCCAGGTACTGTGGGAAATACCTTGAAATTTGTCCGTCAGTCGCTTCTCTAACTCTGTATATGGTCCATTTTTTACATTTGTGAAAAATTCCTTTAGGTAGGCTAAAGCATCTTCGATGCGTGCATCTTCACTGATAATGAGAGCGTCATTGAATTTCTGCTCAGAAAGAGACACACATTTAATCCTCATTTTCCATGGGACAGGGTGAACACAGATTTTATTTACCTAGATTAAGTACTACAAACCTGTGATGTTCTTCCATTTCCATGACAACACAAGCACTACAAAGTCTCCTCTGCACTGATCTGTTCTTAGTATATTAAGACACAAGACTTACATGCTATGTTTTAGCCTGTCTCTAGTTGTTGCAGTCTTCAGCATCCTCACGGGGGGAAGCAAAGGGGCAGGCACTGATCTTTTCACTCTGGTGACCAGTGACAGGTCTGGAGGGAATGGCATGAAACTGAGTCAAGGGAGGTTTAGTTTGGATATGAGGAAAAGGTTTTTCACCCAGAGGGTGGTTGAGCCCTGGAACAGGCTCCCCAGGGAAGTGGTCACAGCATCAAGCCTGTCTGAATTCAAGAAGAGTTTGGGCAGTGCTGTCAAGCACATGGCATGACTCTTGGAGTGTCCTGTGCATGACTCAATGGTCCTGATGAGTCCCTTCCAACTCAGCATATTCTATGATCCTAAATAAAACAATCAAATTAAAAACCTGCTTCTAAGTGAACATACCTGTATCAGAAGATATAGAATTACTCCACTTCTGTGTGGAAGGAAAAAAGATACACACTTACCCGCAAGTGCTCGGTACAAATGAAGAGGTCTCTACAAATGTTGCTCTCCTTCTCCTTATCTGCCACCTGCAACAGTCTGCATTTCTTCTGAGTGTGAACTATCCACTGTTCATATTTCTGTGTTCCAAAATAATTCTTGTTGGTTTGGGAGATAGTATCTAGTAAAGAAGGAGAACAAAAAAACATTTGCTCATCTTGACTAATAAGAAATAACCATTAGCTAGAGGACAACAAACTTCCCATTAATGTTGGCTCTGAAAAGCCTTGGCAGAAGAATATTGTCACGATACAATCACAGAACCATGGGGTCTGGAAGCATCTGTGGATATCTTTAGTTCAACCTTCTGCTTAAAGCAGTTCACCTAGAGCTGGTCACTCCAGATCATGTCCAAATGGACTTGGAGTTCTTCCAAGGACAGAGACTTCAGCTCCTTTGGGCAATCTGTTCTGGTGTTTGACAACCTTACAGCAGAAAAGTTCTTCCTGACGTATAAGTATTTCTGTTTGTACCCACTACCTCTTGTCCTGCCTCTGAGAACCACCTTTGAAGACTCTGTGTCTTCTACACTCCTGTGTTTCAACATGTACCCAGACGTTAGGCTAAAATTAACCCAGTACAATTCAACTGAGGATCTGTGTGCATACACACATCTGCAGAGACTTCAGCAACAAAATTAGAGCTCACATCCTATAAGAAGCCTACAGTATTCAAAAAACTGTGTGTGCATTGCTCCTTGAATTACCAGCCACTCAACAGTTAAGTATTCATTTGTGGAAAAAGTCCACAAGCCTGTGCTTGAGGCAGAGCTAGGCAGTACCTGTTTGTTGCATACATACTCTGCCTGAGTGCTTCACAGACTTCAGTAATCAGAGGGTCCACAGAAGGGAAGCCAATGGCATTCATGCAAGAGGAACTGTGATGCAGAAATAAGCTTCAAAAGCGTTTGCTTAAGTTAAAGTGCACTTTGAAATTCTCACTGTATTTGTTGTTTGATGGGGTTTCTTGGGATGGTTTTTTAGTTTGGGTTTTTCTGGTTGGGTGAGGTTTTTAATTTTCCCTTCCTACCCCAGAATATATTTCACTCTCAAATATTGGAAAGTGAAGTGGAAGGCAGGGGAGGAAATGTAGGACTGAGGTAAACAGGCTTGAGGAACTGTAGTCAGTGTGCTAAAGCCAGTCTAAGCAGAGACAACATCCTTTAATTCAGAGCTGGAGAGACCAAGACTGATCCTGAGCAAAGCCATCTATGGGTCTCTGCTTTGTACCCCTTCAGCTCTCAAATTTTTTATAATAGCAACCTACTGGATACTATTTAGCAATTCTGCAAAAGCAGAAAAGACCAGTTTATTTCTGAAGGGCTGTAGAATTAGGTCTCAAGATCATGAGAGCTAATAATCTTCTCACAGTCATGCATCTCCCTCTCCGCTCTGTAGCTCCTCAAGCTGGAACCCTACTGACAATTGTTTCGTTTCTTAGGTGGTCATATCCTCTCTCTGGTGTTGCCCATGTTCCACAGATACTACTCTAGAAAACTACCTCAAATGCTTTTCAACAGGAAATAATAGAGACCTGGAAAAGAGTGGAAGTAGAGGTAACCCAGAGGAATACAGAGGAAAGAATGCTGACCAGAAAAGGTGGACAGGGCAGCCCTGGAAATAACTCTTGAGTGCAACTCAGAGGTCAGTGGAAATACAAGAAGTGTCAGAGCAGCAAGTGTGAAAATAAACTTTTGCTATAAGGAAGAAATTACAACATCCAAGGTAGGACCATAACTGTGACCCTTCTTGTTTTCTTAACAGAGACAGACTTAGGTATGAAGCAGTTAGAGAAATGTTTAAATAAGAACATACAGATACTTCTCATCAATGAAATCCAGCTCATTGCATTTTGAATGCAAGCCCCTTTATTTCAGAATCTTTTAATTCAGAAGGATTTGACAGTGTCAAAAGCACATCATTTTTAGCTCATGAAACACAGGTTAAAATTAAGGCAAAAAGATTTCTGTTTGTCAAACTAGTCACATATAACCGGAGAACAGTTGCCTGTCCTATCTGTAATCTCTTATTTAGGAAATAAATAGTTAATGGTTAAAGGCAAGTTAAAATTAAGAAGTAGAAATTAAGTGGAAAAGGAGTGACTGTTCTAGCAGCTATAGGATTCACACTGATATAATCAAATACTGAATTGCAGTACAGGCATATTACAGAATCTTACCCTCTGAGTAAATCTTCCTCATCAACGTCTCTGTCTCAGACATCAGACCTGAGATAATGTCTGCAAAGTGATTCTGAGCTCTCATTTTAACCCATCTGACATCTAGAGATAAGAAATGGAAGTGAGTGGCCTGAGTAACTAAAACATTTTCCTCAGCACAGAACAAATTCTTGTCTAGAAGAATGGTGCTATCTATGGTGCTCTATTCAATCACAATCAGGTTTACTATTAGTGAGTATTGTAGTTGCACAGAAAGAAACAGGCTCCAGTCTTCACTGGCAGAACTGAAAAGAACCCAGAGAATGTGGATTACAGCAAAGAGAAAACATGCCCAAGTGAGCACTGCCTTACTGCAGGGCAACAGTGAAATGCAAGCCTAAACTCCTTTCAAGCTAGCAGAAAACAAAGCTGTAGCTTAGTCTTAAGCTTTTACCTTAATCTAAAAAAAGAGGGAATTGGATAACTGCCTTCATCCTGGTGCTTTGCATCTCACAGGAAAATAAAAATTAGGTGTGCTCACGTGATTCTGGCTTGTTTACAAATCTCTGCAGGTCCTCTTTGTTCTCTCTGACAGTGGATATGGCCTGTATGTCAAGGCAGGAGCAAAGGGTACATATGTGTTCTATCGTTTCCTTGATGGTCTTGGCATTCCCAACTCCAACAGAAGCAGTTAAACCTACAATCTGAGCACACACATGAATAGCAGTGGTTGCTCCTTTACCACAAATGGAATAAAAACAGGAGACACTCTTACCAATTGTCAAATTGCCACCATCTTCAAATACAAGATAATAAAACAAGGCAACAGAAGTAAAAAAGAAGCAACCATGAAACCTTGAGAGTGAAGTCTTGTCTGCACTTATGACCTAAAGCACTCAAAGTATTTTAAATTTAAAATAAATTATCCAGCCACTTATATCCATAACCAGCTGTATTTGTCAGTGCTAATCACACAGACAAACAGGAAACCCACACCCAGAACCATCCTTCGCATTCATGAAGAGATGTCTTCTCAGCTGGATTAAATTCTCCTGCCAGGAGAGGCAGTGGCCCTATTTTATTGTCACAGAAGACAGCAATGGAGAGGTGACAACAAGATTACTAAATTATATGCTTTCTTCTGGTTCAGCTTTCCTGTTTGCTCTCATGTACTCCAGTGTCTGTCATGCTTGCTCAGTCCTTGGCAGCTGCAGAGAAGATGTAACGTGGGAAAAAAGCCTGGAGGTGTCCAGGAATGAAGAAGTGTTCCAGATGCTGCTGTTTCAATTTGCAGTCATTGTTAAATGGGACTTTGAACTCGATCAGCACCAAAGACAAGAAAGACTTCAGGTCTTGCTGACTGCATTGCAAAATACTTTTATTTAGTGTTTCCACTCCTGATAGTGTGGGTCTTACCTGAGGCAGTGATTTTGCAGAGGAGTCAAATTTTTGTTCCAAGTATCTGGTCATTAACATATTGTAAGGGTGGTTGCCTGTGGTATTGTGACACTCATCAAATATCATCAGAGTGAAGATGGAGAGAGAGCTAAGGATCCCAGTCTCGATGCTATTCACAAGAATCTGGGGCGTGAGCACAATGATGTCACTGTCCTGTATAACGTGTTCTACAGAGACATTTGCAACTGTTTCACCACATATTCCTTGAACAGAATATCTGGGAAGAAGATGCAAAAAATAAGGTATGAAGAAAAGGTATCTTGCAGGGTAAAAAAAAAAAGCTAGAAGAATGGACTTTTAGCAAACCTGAAAGGCAGTTACTAAGTTCTAAATGTCAAATGGTTGAAGCGGGCAGTTTGACCACAAAGCTGTATAAGCTATAAGGATATATATGTGGATGTTCAGTAATCAGGTCTTTGAAAATCAGAAGCTATAGGTTGTCAGTGCCCCTCTAAGCAATTTTCAGTCCCATCTGAAAGATGGACTTTCATTTTCTGACTAGAGGTTGAAAAAACAAAGTAGTTTGGTTCCTTCCACTTGGAAAAGAAAGGCTCTGAGAATGACAAGAGGAATCTCACTGCTGCTGCCTGGAACTGCCTCATCTTTGGAAGCAGGGATGAAAGGAATCTCAGGACAGAATACGCTTCACCCTTTCCCAGAGATAAGCACAGATATACTTTACCCACTTCCATAGATGTGCAAAAACCAGGGCTTACACTTTTCAAAAGCAGACTTCAGATTCTCCAAATGAAGTCTGCCATAGCATTGCCATTCTTGCAGCTAGGCATCATCCTTATGTTAATGTGAAACACTCTTGTTCATCAGTAAACTCATTAAATTTTGGCCCTAGCTACAGGTGACCAAAAGGGAAGTTTATTTTCTGTGGAGGAAGACATCAGGTAGAATTACACTTACCCACTTCTTTCAAAATGCTGCCTGAATACATTTTTCTGTTGTTCATACACTGGCACTTTGGTTGCAAGAAAGGCAACTTTTGCCTTTTGTCCTGAGGGCACGTTTTGCAAATGGTGTTCACAAATCAGAAGAGATACAAAAGTTTTTCCGGATCCTTTAAACAAAAAACATGAATAGTAAAGCACTGTGAAAGGGTGCATTTGTAAGCAGTAGCTTGTCTCATCTGGATACCTGGTAACAAAGGGGAGCTGACAGGGAGCTGTTACACTTCCAGACTCTCTTTTTTTTTGAACACATGCTTGCTGCTTATTCAAGTGAGTAATCATCTCTTTGTCTCTTGAAGTCTCAGTCAGTAAAGACCATTAAGCAGAGGGAAATTAATACCCATTTGCAGTTGTACTTGAGTTCTTTGAAATCACTGAATCTAATTTTGCTCTTGGCATGTGCTTTCACATCAAACCAGGCTATGGTATAGGCACTGGTCACTTTCAGCTTCCATCCTTCTCCATGAAGTGTTGCTCCTCTCACAATTCTTTTCCTTTGGCAGTCAGGTTCACTGTGCAGGTAATCCAGAGCTCTTCTTTGTCCCTGCCTCTCCAGGGCTCAGGGGAAAATTAGGCTAGCAACGTGGATACCACGGGTGCAAAGAAAGTTGATTGACCTCTCTTTTCCTGCTAAACTTCAATTTTCTTATCTCAGCCCTGACCTACTGCAAAATTTCTGTGCTGTCTTGACGCTGTAGGCATTGTAGTAGAGAAGACAGGGAAGTCTCAGGCTAACTCATCCTATTTTCCCTCAACTTGCAAGTAGAAGTTCTTAAATATCAGTAAAGATCAGTGACTGATTTTACCTCAAAAAATCCACACCAGAGACTGAGAAAGTGGAAGTCAGAACATGGAAATCTGAATACAAGCGCTGAAGTGCCAATAGGAACATCTGTCTTGCTCAGTCTCTGTGCTGCCCATGGCCATTAATTTCAGGTTAGATATGGATCTACTGCAAGAAAGACTGCTCTTAAATATAAACAGCTGAAAAAATTTGACTCAACCTTTACCCTTCCCTATGCGTCACTGCCATCTATACCAAGAGAATCTTTTTAAGAGATGTCTATTTTCTTACCTGTAGGGGCACATATCAATGTGTTTTTCCCATTGATAGCAGGCTGTGCAAGTTCAATCTGGTAGCTCCGAGCCTTCTTTGGTTCATAAGCAGGTGAAGACCAATGGACCACTCCTAGGAAAGAACCACATTTTTGTGAAGAGTGTTACAACAGAAATGCATAAAATATACTGCACCCCATACAGCTGCTGTGTGAAATGATAGAGGTAGAAGAGCCCTTGCAGTCCACACAGAACATTCTCTGACAGTCTTTTAACAGGACAGATGTACCAAACAAGAATTTTGTGTAGGTTTGATGGTATACTTTTGTTACCCCTCAACTGTGCTTCCTAAAATGAACTAATTTCAAGGTCTTGGCTGACAACTGTCACTTAATCTTGTCTTTTTTTTTCAACTCAGAAAAAAAACACAAGGGATTATTTTCCCCCACAGGTATGCACAGTGTTCCTTCAGCTTCTTCTGTACAGACTTCTGAAGTTATTACTCTCTTATATTGTGGTCTTTTCAGAGGGTTTGCACTTAAGGAACAGGAATTAAAAACCACTGGTGGAGCAAAATTTTCTATACAAAACATGACAGCCACTGCACAGATCCTTTGCAGCCATATTCAGCTCTCTAAACTGGTTAATACCTCATCATGTGAGAAGAAGTCATATCAGAGAAGAGGTGCAGCAACAACAGTCTGGTGTCTGGAGACCTTTTTGATAATGACCTGACAGAAGAACTTCTTGCTAGTAATGTGATAAATGAGGGGCAACCCCTAACATTTGCAATGCCCAGCATGAAATCCTTTAAATGTTAGAACAGAAAATCATGTCAGAGATTTGTTCTAGTTCCTCAGTACCTTCCTTTGTGGCATACCACATCTGTGTCCTTCAGGAGTCTAAGGAAATGGAGAATACCAACCATAGACTGTTTTTAATTCTTAAGTTGTACCTGAAACTGAAGAAAGATTTTCACTGAAATTATCATCACACTCTGGTTCTTCAGCAAATGTCATCGTGGTTTCAAAGCATTTCTCAGAGGCACCTGTCATTTCACCATCAACATCCTTGCCATTATCTGTATAATTAGGAAAAAAAAAAGCACATTATTGATCCTTTTGATATTAAAATGTTGTATTTGCTGTGATGACAAGGTGTTGGAGTTGGTTGCTGTCACTGAAAGACTACGTAAAATGATGCTGCATCCAGGCTCCCTTTCAAGGAAGATGGATAGCACTGAGAATTTCAGATTTAGAAGAGCCACATATTCAGTGCATGTGTAGCTATCCATTAAAAATCAAAGAAGATAAGCAACTGGGAGGAAAGTGATATCCTCTGTGTTTACTGACAAGACAACACCATGTAACACAGACATTAACCACAAGCATGAAAAATACTTAGGAGTTCAAAGCAGCTTTGTAAATTCAAAACTCTGTTCTCCCTTTCTCCCCACCTCCTGAAAGGACCTAGAAATGATAAGACTGTCTCCATTCTTTCTCTTACACTACAATTGAAGGAGATTACAAAGATGCTAAAATTTTCTTTGGCCTCATAATTATTACCTTCTCAAAGAACCATCCCTGGGCTTTGCATGAAGAGTTTCTTTGTGAGCAAAACACGTGACTACTTTTGGAGAGGGAGAAAGAGCACCCCATTCACACCCCAGTCCAGCTCCAGAAAGTACACAATATCTGTAATTAAGTTCTACTAGCAACTCCTGTTAACTCCTAGCAGTAAAATGCTTCCAGTATAGGCAATGTTTCTTCAACAGGCTGACTTTGGCTTTGTTAAGTTGGACGTTAGAGGAAGCTTCCCCTAAAGACAGTGATATCTTTAACTTATAAAATATAACAGTCAACCAAATAATATCTATAGCCACCAGCTACATAAAATAATATCTATATACATATAGGTATTATTCTTATCTATTATTTTGCATATAATTATTTAGAAATCTATGAAGTATGTATATAACTTTATACATACATAATAATCAAATCTCCAGATAAGAAATTCCACCCTTTGACTACAGCAATAAAAACATTTAAAAATAAGAAATATTGCTAAGAAGCCACTTAAATAGAGATTGTTTCAGTTAATCAATTAACTAATTAGTTAATTAATTAAAGACAATTCAAACAAGCACTTAGGGTATGGGAGACAGCAAATACAGATATGAAGAAATACAGTCCAGTTTATCTAAAATAACTTATTTTGTAGCTAAATGATGTATTCTGCTCTAAACTCTCCCATGCTGCAGACTATTCATATTGTTATTTTTCAAGTAGGGAAAGGTAAATTCAATGAAAAAAGCAAAATATTTTTTTTCACTTTTAGAAAATATGGACATAGTCACTTGATAAGGGCAGCTTATCAATTTGTCAGAAAAGTGTATGATCTGCTCTGTAGATCATAGAAGTGTATTACTCTCTAGACTAACAAATTACTAATGAAATTTTTTCAGAAAATATTGTATCTATCACAACTCTAGCAACCAAAAAGATGGCAAAAGGGGAAATACAGAAGAAGAGAAGGAAGAAAATAACTGATTTACTAGTTTTATGTCTTCAGAGCCTGTGCTGCCTGATTCTGATAACCAAAAAAAGGTATTATTCCTAATCATATGGAAGGAAAAATACTCAAAAACCTAATTTCTGACTGTTCATAGGATAACACCTGTATTTCATCCTACATAAAAGACATTTTAAATAAATTCTATAAGGATTTTATTTTTAGACAACAATAAGCAAGGTAGTCTGATGGTATCTTTTTAAATCGGTCTTATTCTCCTGAAAAAACATCAATCTGTCTGGTACAAGAACATGAAAAGAGCAACATAAAAGCAATTTTCAGTTTACCTTCTCTTAAATCCCACAGTTCACTTGCATTGTAATATCCTGCCTTATCCAATGCCAGCTGAAGACTTTTCGGCCAGTTTTCCTTATCCGAGCGACAGAGACATTCAATGAGTTTAGTTATCCCGGCTGCTTTGCTTCTGTATTCACTAATCTGCACACACCATGAACAGAAATTGCTGTAGGTTCTGAGTGATCAAAAGCACTGCTCTTTGTTTGCTAGTTCATTTGTTATGTTCTATGTTCAGTTGAAAATTGCATTTCCTTCTCACTGAATAAAAGCTTTTCCAATAAAATTACGTAGTGCTGCTTCAATTCTACCAGCCTAGCTGTATGCTAATCTTACCTAGACTACATCATTAGGTAGGCTATTTGCTTAAATATTCACAAGGTCTGAAACATCACAGAGCTATTTGGTGGATTTTCATCTGGCAAGGTCCTTGTAATGAGCTGTATCTGCCATAAACCTCTGAGACTGAACTGATTCCATTCCAGAACAGGGAAAGACAAAACTACAAAATTTATGGCAAACCTGATGTATGGTCAGATGCAATAGCTTTCCAAATGTTCTGTATCTCCATAGAGAAACAGCATTTTAAAAATAAAATAGTCTCAAACTATCCTTCTTGGGAGTCGCAAGAAGCAAGAACACCTTACAGACTCCTTCAGAGGGCATTGATACTTATTATTAACCAGTAAATCATTGGTAACATCACTTGTTATCAGCCATTGATAACAGCACTGAGTTAGAACTGGGTAGCAGTACAGCAACTTCACATCCAAAGGCAATGAAAATGCCATCAACGTCTGTGACACAGCATTTAGCTCATGACTTCAGACCAGAAGTTCCATTCCACCCTACCTTTGGGTGCTGACAGAATCCAAAGAGCTAACACAAAGTTTCTAGCAGTTGCTACAGTTAAGGTAATAGAATATGTCAAATCCCATGACAAGCAAGAATCAATTTAGGCCACTTCAATCTGTATTTTTAGGAGCGTTAATGCAGTGTGAATGCTCCAGAAAGGGGTCTATTTCAAAGGCATAGTAAGGCACTCATTCCCCTGCAGTGTGGCACCTTCCAGAGCTCCTAAGATCTCTTCATGTGGGACTGGATTCCATGAAGATGTACGGCTGAGCACTGTTGATGCCAAAGCCACCCCACCCTGCTTCCCTGCCCGCCACCCTTTTCCATGCCTCCTTGTCCACCAAGCCAGAGGAGTGAAGAATGAGAAGTGCAGGTGCCGCAGACAGCACTGCTGTGGGATGCTGCAGCCACACAGCAAGGCCTCCTCTAAGGAGAGGAAAAGAAGTCCTTCTCCAGGAGACCATAGCCAGCCATCCTCCTCACCCAGCCAGCTGTCACACGGGCACCACTTCATCCCACAGGCGAGGCAGCCCACACTTCTCTGCAGCAAAAACAGGCAAATACCAGGATTTTACCATACCTGCAGGATCTCATCACACTCCCTCTCTATCAGGCATGTGTTTATGTAAGGCATGAGTGCTACTGGATCAATTTCTAGCATTGTTGCTTCTATCCGCTTCAACAGCTGTCTGTGCAGCTCCAGTTTTTCCAGTTTGCTGAAGTCCCAGTTTTCTATTGCTTCTGCCAGTCCAGTGTAACCTTTCAGAAAAAGGGATCAATTGTTACTATGAATTCAATCTCTAGCTAGAATAGGTAGGAACAAGCTGAAAAAAACCCCACTTTCTCAGCCACACTGGAGAAATTATAATTATCTTGCCCCATAAATGATGAAAATCTAGGTGAACCACAAACAATTTTATATTTAATAAGTTACTATTTTCCCTTAGAAAAAGGGAATACAAGTTTCCTCGTTATGTCTAACATGAAAAAAACACCTATGCTAAAGAAACAGTAACACTTGCAAACTAGAAAAAGAGTTACTGAATGTTAAAGGTCACATCACTCAAGCAACCGTAATCACACCATGTCTTTTGATCATACAATCCTTGGATCCTTGCGGTCCATGATACTCTTTCAGCAGTACCATCTTTTCCCACAGCACAGGATGCTATTCAGAATCACAAACAGCTTTGGTCCCCTTTTATTTACCATCCCTCTATCTTTTAGTCCTGTCCTTGGCTTCCCCCTCCTTCAAAAATCCCTACTGCATTAGATTCAGTCCTTAACTGACAGCACTGAAGACACCTGCAGCCGAGACAGTCATCAAATAGCTGTCTAGAAAAGATAGTGGCAGAGAAGCATATTTTAACGACTTGTATGATTTGCTTCAGGGGTAGAAAAAAGCAGGTCTGGGTCCCAGATGAACTTGTGGGCACACAGAAGGAATTTGTCTAATTCCTTATTTTCTTTTGCAGGAGCAAGAGAATGATATATACAATTACCACTATGTCTTTAGACTAATTATCACCAACCCTTGCATCTGCCAAAAATAAGAGTAATCCCAAATTCTAGTCTCAAGCCAATTAACAAGTACTTGGGATAGCACTTGCAGTCAGCAAATTAACTTTTTTTCAGTTTCCTGCGGAGTATACACCAAACTGAACACTTATCAGCATGTTCAAGGAAGAATTTTTTGCAATTCAGGAATTAAGGCTATCACAGGCTGGTAAAAAGTTGCTCTGGACCTAGTATTTACTTAAAGGGAAGTTTGGGCTATGTCCAAATGATAAGAAATTTTGTAATATTTGTTCACTGAGATCCTATAACTAACTATTCACAGTTAACGGTCAGGAAATTAGACCAGAAGTGGCTTATGGCATGAGATTTTGGAGTTCAAGAATCTATGGTAGAATACACATGTATAGATGAAAGCTGCTTCACACAGGGGCATCTCCCCATACCTTCCAATAGTCCTATTTCCAGCCTCTGTCAACCTGCCTGTTCCTACTGCATCTCAGGTGGTGTGGCACGGCCCGACAGCAGCAGCCCACGGTCAGCGTGGCGACCCTGCACATCGCGGGTGCACCGAGCGCGGGAGGCACCTGCGGCTCTGGCGGGGCTGGGAGAAGCGGACAAAACCACGCTCCGGGCTGGGAACAGACCTACTGCAACGAGGGCATCCAGGAAGCCCCGGAGCCAGCCTTCCGCCTCCAGCAGCAGCACGGTATCCAGGAACAGCGCGGCGGCCGCCGTCACCCCCTTCTCCTCCTCCTTCCGCACTCTCTCCTTCATCTCTGTCAAGAACCCAACACAGGCAGAGAGTGAGGGATGGGGAAAGGGGTTGGAGAGGGCGGCAGGGAGCGGGGACCTCCCACCCGCGGGGCTGGGGGCAGCGGGCGCTGCCGGCTCTCACCGTCCGACAGCCAGTCCGTCATGTTGCTCAGGATGTAGACGGGGTTTAGGCTCCTCTCGATGTACCGCCTGTAGCACTGCAGGTTTCTCTTCTCCTCCGCCGTCATGGCGAGGCCGGCTGAGCACGGGCAGCGGTCCCGCTCCCGGTCCCGGCTGCGGGCGCGGAACCCGCCCCAGCCCTGGGAGAGCATGGGAGGAGCCGGTAGGGAGCAAGTGGAAGCCGCCCCCAAGCTGCGAGCGACGGGAAAACGAAACTTCAAGCCAGATGGAGAATAGAAACAGAAAAAAGGGAAACGCTGCTCTGCGCTTGGGTCTGCCCTACGCAAAAACAAAAGAACCAAAAAACGGACTACAACAACAACAAAAAAACCCAACCCCACACCTATCAACCAACCTACCAAAAACCCCGAACAAACAAACCCATTAAAAAAAAAAAAAAAAAAACCAACCAAAAAACCAAAAACACACCAAAACCCCCCTAAAACCCAGCCAACTAATCATAAGCTCATGCAAGTGGTTGAAAAGCCTGTGACCAGCCCCGTTTGCAGCTGCCGGTGGGTGAAAGCACAGCGAGGAAATAGGAGTAAAGGCATCACTCTACCCCCTCTTCCTTTTTGCCCTCAGAAAGCCCTACATGGGTTTTTACGGACTGTATCCCCGTTTTTAAAAGATAGAAGTACTTAAAGTTTTTAGAAAGTGTATCAGGGAAGTGAACATCAAAGGAGAAGGCTCACAAAGGGGGCCATTGTATCGCAGAGCAGAAAACACCCAGCGCTCAGAAGGGCTGCTAAACGTGACAACTCCGTATGCAAACCTCCCTCTAACCATTAACATGTAGAGTGGATGCATGATATTCAAACAGATGACTAATAGGTAGCAGCCCAATACAAGATACCTGCTTCCTAAAGCCTTGGCAACACAAGGCCACAGAGTGATGGGTGGGCACTGGAAGGACAGAGGGTAGCAGGGGACAGAAGGAGGGACATTGAATTGACACTGAATTTTCACTGTACTTTAGTCCATCTGTATTCTCGAGTATTCAGTATCCCTTCTCCAGCCTTCTGTCTCTTCCACCAACTTCTAAAGGAGTTACAGGAAATCTTGTTTCAAATGTCCCCTGTACCACCATGCTGTGTTATCACCAATCACTGTCCTCTCAAAGAGCCCTAGGAGAGGAAAAGCTTGCATATGGACTTTTAGTATTATGTCTATGCAGTGATATGGAGTAGGGGAATGTTACCCACTCCTAGGTAGGGAAATGTCAGCTAGGAGAGGACAGCTCCTGTTGCAAGAAAGAGATGGGTGAATAAGTCCCAAATGGAAACATCAGCCACCTCTGCATTCTTTGCATGTTACTCCTGTGTTTTCCACCAGTTCTACAAACAAAGTAGAAGCTCCTGGACATTTGTGTCTGAGCTCATCTTCTACAGAAAGGCATATCAGCCTCCAGTTACAGAAGAACAAAGTAAAACCAGGTGAGTTTAATGTCAAAATGAGGTAATAGGTGGGTTAAATTTTTCTGCTTGATCATGCCTCTTGCGCTCCCAGGGCAGCCCAGATTTCTTAGAAGCACCAACTCAAACTTTTTCCTCCAAACCCCCCAAAATTACTATTCTCCATCCAACCACCTGCAGAGTGAATATTCCAGGCCACACTGCCCCTTAGCTCTTGGCATAAACTCAAGCACCACATCCCCACCTCAAAAGCACATAAATAGTTCAAAATAAATAAATAATATACACAATTACGGAACTGGTCCAATAATGAGACTGGGATTATGGTTTGACTTTGTACCTGCCAGCTCTTTATCTGGTATGGAAAGGAAGGATACTAAGTGTTCCCATTCACCCCTTTAAAAAGAAGTGAGGTTGCTTAGTTTGCAGCCTAGGGACATGGCAAACAGCCTACTTTGGCTTCTCAGGGATTACTTTTGGTTTTGGTTTTGTTTACCCAGTCTGCTGCCGTAAGAAGATCCCTAAGGGTTGAATTTTCTTGTGTATAACAGGATAGAAGCATCAGCCTGAATTCAGACTAGCCACCCAGCTCACCCTGCAGAGTCCACCTATCAGATGGGCGATGACAGACACAGCAGAGAGCATTTTCTGGTCAGCCCCTGGCTTCATAAGTGCCTGTTACAGCTTTCAATCTACAAATGACAAGTGATTTTATCACTCATGCTCCACCTAGCAGAGGGAGAGTGTGTGCAGGGACTCAAAAATCAGTGTTGCAACTGTGTAGGAAAAGCACTGCCATGCAGAAACCCAGTCCCAACCTGGGGGGTGCCAAGCAATTGTCTGCATGACAGAGAGAGCAGCACCACAAATGGTCTTGAGACCAATGGTCAGCCTTAACCCAAAGTTAAACTGATGGAAGCACAAGGAATGAAACTACCAGGTGTGACAAACAAGTGATAGAAAAGTCTTTGGTCTCCCCTGACCTGCCCCTACAGTAGTAAGACAATAACAGGAAAAACTACTGAAGAAAAAGTATGGAATGTGTCTTTCAGGGAGCCCAAGGGAGACAAGTAATAGAAAATGTTGAAAGGGGGGAAATGTTGACTTATTGGTGTCATTGAGCATTGCTTAGAGCCACCAAATAAGGGTGCCAAGTCAGCAGGATGGGGGAAAATTAGGAAAACATGAATGGGGCAGGTTGTTAATTACAGAGGGGAAAAGCTGGAAAAAGGGGATAAAAAGTCAATGACTTTGCTGGGTAGAGGGAGCATGAAAGGCCAGTTACTGTGGGGACCTGTATATGTACACAGTGATATTTAGCCCAACTACAGCTTGTAAAAATGGGTACATTTTTAACTACATTTCTAAATCCTGTTGGTTCCTAAAACATGACAAAATTAAGTAAAAACTTCTACTGAAGTGTCTTAGAAAGTTTTCATCCAAAGATTATCCCTAAAGCATTGCTCGAGTTTTCCATAAACTGTACATACTTAAGTCAAAGGGCCATTTTTAAAAGCGCAATTTAATAAATGCTGTTAAATATAATCTTTTTCATAACCCGTTAATATTTTCCTTTTGCTTGACATAACATAATTATCTGGTTTAGTATTTACTCTTCTACTGCTAGTTTCTAAGATTCCTGTGGTTTTTTTAATTTTTTTTTTTTTTTTTCTTAATGGTGTCATGATTTTGCCCACCAGCCAGCCCCTGGGGCTGAGGATGGTTTTGTCCAGGTGGATTTTGGGAGAAAAGGCCAATCAAAACTTTAGTAACGCCTTTGACAATTACATATTTAAGAAAATGGAAAAGAAGCCTGTTGGGCAGTTGCAATCAGGAGCAGTAGCCATGTAGGAGCAGCGGCAGACCCCGAGTGGGGGTCAGACCTCCCTCCTCCCCCAGCCCTGGGTTGTGGGCAGGTGTGGCACTGAAAACCCCCTTCTCTTCTATAACGGAGTAGAGAAGAAAAAACTTCAGAGAAGGACTGACTGCTTGGATGAGAAGTGCTGCAGAAGAAATTCCAGCAGAGAGATGACAAAGTGTCCAAGGTCGAAGCTGGCAGCAGGAGGAGAGAGAAGAGAAGTTCGAAGGGGGAACTGTTTCTCCCCCCTCTCGCGCTCTCTATCTCTCCCTTCTGCAGGGAAAAGACTTAAAAATAAATCCCTGCCACCTGTAGAAGTTTGTTGGGGTGAGGAGAGCCCCATGTTGCTCTTGGAGGAGCCTACACTGGAGTAAGTTGATGCACAATGAAGCCGAGACTTCATGAGAAGCTTGAAATGAAACAGAGTCCTACTGGAGGCGTGTAGGCCATGGATAGACTTAATCCAGAGCAGAACAGCTCGGGTATGTTGGGATCCGTGTGTGGGATCCATGCTGCTGCTGGAAATTTGTGACCCCGAGAGAGAGACTTACTCTGGAGCAGAACAGCTCGGGTAAGATGCTGGGATCCATGTGTGGGATCCATGCTAGACTTGCGTCAGAGGGGTTTGTCAAGAACTGTTTTCCCATGGGGAGGGACCCCATAGGAAACAGGGGTGGACTCAACAGCCATTATCCCCTGTGATCCTGTGGTGAAGATCCATGGTAGGCAAGTGTCCCCTTGCAGTCCATGGAAGAGAAGATCTTCGGGGTCTGGGTAACCCCTCAGCCTCCGGTCTTAGCTCAGGAGCAGGGTAGGCCCAGCCCTGGAGGCCGACATAGAAAAGAGAGAGAAAGAAAAAGAGTTCCAGCTGCGACAAAAAGGAGTTGTCGTCCTGAGATAACAGAAGAAGAGCTTTAAAGTGCTAGAGAGTTATTGAAAAGACCTGGAGCTCCCAGAATGGAGAATGAGACTGCCTCTCCTACTTGAACTGATATAAAGCGGGGAGGGGTATTTCTGTAAATACATAGTACTTTTACCTAATTAGGATTATTGTAGATGTAGTTCTTTAGTTTTTATTTTGCTAGTAATAAATCTTAATATTATTCTCCCAAATCAAGTCTCTTTTGTCTGCATAAACCTTCTCTCAATTTACAGTAATTGTGTAGGGGGTGTGAGAGCAAACTGACCCAGAGCAAAACCATGACAAATGGACACCTAGCTACTGTTTTCACATTGATATTTATTAGGTAAGGTATCCTGACATTCCCGTTTAGTTTTGGTGGGCTAAAAAATGCCCAATTTCCAGGGCTGCCTAGCAGGGGCAGCCTTGGCAGCTCCTGCCTCTGCGAGCAGATAAGCATCTGCACAACCCAGCAGCCTCCATGCCAATTTGCCAGGGCTGCCAAGATGTATGAGGAAGGCAGCTGAAGTGCTCAGACCCGTTTTTTGAGTGGTGCTCAAGGATAGCAAACTGGGAGTGAATATCAAATATAAATGGGAATGCCAAGGCTTTGAAACTAGCAGTTGTCTCTCTACAGATCAATGACATTTCCCTTAGTGCTACACAGAAATACAGTATCTATTACACTGAGAAGGTGTATCCTTCATATAGACCTCAACCTCCTTCTAAGATTTTATGTGACATCATTGTGCATGAATTAGTCCTAAAGACCTCTCCCTCAATCCTTGCAAGCCTTAATTAAAAACTAGTCAGCAGCAGGTGGAAAACCTGCTGTTTGAAACACAGGCAGACAAAAGCAGGAGAAGAAGGAGAGATACATTCTTTCACAGTTCATTTACACAAATGGGATAAGATATGATTTCAAAAGAATATTGTCATTTCATAAGCACTCACT